AAAGTGAAGAAGTAATAACACTTATCAATCCTGTAAATGAAGAAATGTTGCCACTTTCAAGTTCTGATAGGCTTTTTATTCAATTTTTATGTGCTGCTTTATTATAATAGCAACAATTTTACAAAATAAAATTTCTTCAAATAGTCAAGTAATTCTTTTGACTATCACAATATTTATTGGTATCTTTTTTATTATTATTGAAATTCGACAATTTTTATATAATCCAAAAAGATATATGACGGATTTTTGGAATTTAATTGGTATAAATAATTTTTAATTAAATTTATTGTTAGCTACAAATATAATTTACTTATAGTTTAATTAATTTTTAGATATTGCTGCATTATCATTACCAATAATAGTTTCATCAATCTGGCTATACGAAAAAACATTATCAGTTTGGATTATTACAATATCAACTCTTTTACTTGAGCTTAAATTTTTATTCTTTTTTCGTGCTCTAGATTATTTTGGAAGTTACTTTGCAATTATGATTGGAGTTGCACAACAAATCTTTTCTTTTCTTGTTCTATTGGGTATTATAGTTATTGCTTTTGCACATTCATTGCACCTTTTGTTAAGACCAACAACAAAATATTCATATGACCAACCGAGTTATAATGACGATATTAATAATCCATGGAATCTTGTTACAAGATATAAATCAATTTCATCTAATGGTGTTATTGGTAATGAGTCTTTTATTGAAACACCAAGTGCAAATACAAATTTATTTTCTGTATTCAATACTGCAATTATTGCAGTTTATTTTATGTTAACAGGTATAGTATTATTTAAATATTAAATTACTTATATTGTGTGTTGGAATTAAAACTGTTTAAACAACCAACATATTTAATTTATACAAATTTCAAATATAAATATCTCTAAACTGCATATTTATTTCGTTTTTCAATCTAATTTTAATCTTTTAATATCCTCACAAAAAAATTCTTTAAGCAATTTAACTACATAACTTGATAAATACGCAGGTCTAGAAGGATTTTCTTAATGCGTCACAATAAGATTATTAAGTTTTATATCAAGATTTTTTAGCTTTTCATCAAGATCATTAAGCTTTTCATCAACTGTTTTTGTATCTAAGTCTGCAATTTTGTAAATATGTGAAAATATAAATGGCTTAGATGATTCCTCAAAATTTTCGCTTTGAAGTTTTTGAATATATTTTTGAAGTTCTTCAATTGTAGCCGTGTAATATCTGTTAAATTATATTAAAATTATATTTAAACTATATAAATATTTTGTTAATAAAACTTTAAACAATTACATGATTTCTGGAAACCAATTTTTTTTTCTTCTTTGATAAGGCAACATCCAAAACAATTCAATTTCTGATAATATCTAAAAATAACAAAATAAATATTAGATTTGAATATATATTTTGGTTTTTTATGATATAGATTTATATTAATCATTAATATACATCTTGTTTTAAATGTAGAAATGATTCGTCATTATTTGTATTTTCAATTGCTGTACTAAGTAATCCAATAAATAAATTTAATAAATAAATAGTTGTAAAAAATGAAAATAGAACTAATAAAACCACTAGTGTCCAATTTTCGT